CAGGCCCAGATGGATTCACTGCAGAATTCTACAAGAAATACAAAGAGGACCTAATGCCAACACTCCTCAAACTCTTCAATGAAATTGAAAGGGAAGCAATCCTTCCCAAGTCATTCCTGGAAGCAAATATTACTCTAGTACCAAAACCTGAGAAAGACCCAACTGAAAAAGAGAACTATAGACCAATCTCCCTAATGAACACAGATGCAAAGATCCTCAATAAAATATTGGCAATAGGATGCAGCAGCAAGTCCTCAAGAAGATTATACACCATGACCAAGTGGGATTCATCCCAGGTATGCAGGGATGGTTCAATATATGTAAATCAATAAATGTAATCCACCATATCAATAGAGTCAAAAGTAAGAACCACATGATCATTTCTGTAGATGCAGAAAAAGCTTTTGATAAGGTACAACATTGATTTATGATAAGAACCTTGCAGAAAATTGGAATAGATGGTCTTTATCTCAACATAATAAAGGCCATCTGTGACAAACCAACAGCCAGTATCATACTAAATGGCCAAAAATTGAAGGCCTTTAGGCCTTGTCAGGCACAAGACAAGGATATCCCCTGTCACTGCTCCTATTTAATATAGTACTGGATATACTAGCCAGAGCAATTAGACATGAAAGAAAAATAAAAGGCACAAAGATAGGAAAAGAAGAAGTTAAATTATCATCATCTGCAGATGATATGATACTCTACATAGAAGATCCCCAAAACTCCATTGAAAGACTCCTAGATATAATAAATAAATTCAGCAATGTGGCTGGATACAAAATCAATACACAAAAATCAATAGCATTCTTATACACTAACAACAAAATCACAGAGAGAGAAATAAGAGAAGACACATCCTTCACACTAGCAACCAAGAAAATGAAATATTTAGGAATTATTCTCACGAAAGATGTGAAAGACCTATACAGAGAAAATTATAATACACTGAAAAAAGAAATTGAAGATGATCTCAGAAAATGGAAAGACATCCCTTGCTCATGCATAGGAAGAACAAACATTGTGAAAATGGCCATTCTCCCAAAACTGTTACACAGATTCAATGTAATCCTGATAAAAATACTATCAACATACCTCATAGATCTTGAGAAATCAATCCTAAAATTCATCTGGAGTGAGAAGAGACCTAGAATAGCAAGGACAGTTCTAAGCAATAAAGGCAAGGCAGGAGGCATCACAATCCCTGACTTAAAGTTATACTACAAAGCAACTGTAGTAAAATCAACATGGTACTGGAATCAAACAGAGCCGAAGACCAATGGAATAGATTAGAAGATACAATCACAACTACAAACACACTCAACCACCTTATCTTTGATAAAAGGGCCAAACATGTTCACTGGAAGAATGACAGTCTCTTTAATAAATGGTGTTGGAAAAACTGGCTCTCTATATGCCGAAAACTAAAACTAGACCCATGCCTGTCACCATATACTAAAATAAAATCTAAATGGATCAAAGATCTAAATATTAAAACAGAAACACTAAATCTATTGGAAGACAAATTGGATAAAAAACCTTGAAGACATAGGGGTAGGTAGAGAATTCATGAACAAGACTCAACCACACGGGAAATACTTCCCAGAGTCAATAACTGGGATTACATCTTATTAAAAAGTTTCTGCACATCAAAAGAAATCTCTAACATAGTGAAAAGAAAACCCACAAACTGGGAAAAAATCCTAGTGAACTGCCTCTCAGACAAAGGACTTCTGTCTAAAACATACAAAGAATTAAAAAAAATCAGAGCCCCAAAATTCAAAGACCCCATCCAAAAATGGGCATCTGAGATGAATAAAAAATTTTCAGATGAAGAAATACAAATGGCAAATAAATATATAAAAAATGTTCAGCATCACTAGTCATTAGAGAAATGCAAATTAAAACCACACTGAGATTTCATCTCACTCCTGAAAGAATGGCCAGGATCAAGAAAACCACCAACAACAAATGCTGGAGAGGCTGTGGGGAAAAAGGAACTCTCCTGCATTGTTGGTGGGAATGTAGACTGGTGCAACCATTGTGGAGGTCAGTCTGGAGGTTTCTCAGAAAGCTGGGACTGGAAGAACCATTTGACCTAGCTATTCCACTTCTAGGTATATTCCCAGAAGAACTGAAAGCATCATACCACAGTGATATATGTGCACCCGTGTTTATAGCAGCACAATTTGTAATAGCCAGATCTTGGAAACAACCTAAGTGCCCATCAACTGAGGAATGGATAAAAAAGTCGTGGTATTTTTATACAATGGAGTACTACTCAGCTATAAAGAATGATCACATTGAGATACTGATAAAAAATGGACGCAGCTCGAGACCGTACTCATAAGTGAAATAATTCAAACTCACATGTATAAATACCGAATAGTTTCCCTAGTGTAAGAAACGATAAGAATACATGAAAGTACGTGGTAATCATGATTCCCAGTCACACTGGTTTGAAGCCATATAATGTTTTCACTCATTAATTGGAATGGTTTTAATCTGGATTGTTTTATTTTATTGTCTGTGATACTACAAATAACTTTTTTGAAGAAAATACGAGCATAATAGCTAGCGCTGATTTAATATCATCCTGTTTTGAAGCCCCATCAAGTTGTTGTTCATTTGTTTCCATTGGTTCTAACATGTTAATATATATTTTGCAATAGTATAAGCAAATTTTTATAGACAAAGAGATAATATAGAAATTGATGTTCGGTTTCTGCTAGCTGGTTCTAAATACCCTGCAATAATTTCATTCTCTTGAATGGCTTCACACTGTCTTGATAAGTTTGATGCTATAGTATACGAAATTAGACTCAAATATTTCAAGGAAAGAGTCACTATGGTAACTACTATTAATGTCAAGCTATCTGGGGGTGAAACACAATGATGGTTAAATTTTTCGGTTCTGATGGGTATTGTCCTATTGATATGTTCTTTTTTTATCTCAGTCTCCCCCCCTTTTTCTTTCCTTTTTTAAAAAATTAATTTATTTCTTAGTATCTTTTAACTAAGGGAAAACTAAATTAAAAATAGTGCGATAGATTATAGTAACTTTTTTGTTTCCTTATTAACCTGATTTGAACCCCTGTATTGTTCTCCACATCTTGTTCTGATTGATTTTATTATATTCTGTTTTCCTTAATAGTATCAAGTTTGAGGGTATAGGCAACCATTTGGAAGGCAACTAGATATTGTATGATGCCTATTATTGTTTGACTATTATCTTCTTTGGAATCCTGTAAGTTCTCCAATGTGGGTTTTATTGGTCTTCTGTACAGTTTTGTTCAATTCTTTTATACCAGCTGATATAGGCCACTCTTTTTAGGATAACAAGAGGCATAATGGTAACCATTGTTGATAACCTAGTAATCCTTTTTTTTTTTTCATTATATACTATGTCCATCCTCCTGATCTAACTGACTCTGTTTTGCTTTGTCACATTGGGTTTTTCTTTGGTCCATCTTGTTTTGTTTTTTGGCTTTTTTAAAAAAATCTTTTTTCTTTTCCTCTTCAAAGAAACAATTATAAAAACTGTGGGAGTAGTGGAAACTAAAATGTGTGATTGTTAGCGTAAAAAAGAGAGGAAGGAAAGTGATCTAAAGGATGTAACTGCAAGTATATTTAAATGTGTAGGTTAGAGAACCATATTGCTGAGTTTTTCTTGGATCATTGAACAGAACTGAATGCAATCTCACTGTATTAATGTCCACTTTGTATGCTTTAATTTTGTAATCTGGAAAATTGTTTCTAACATGACAATATGTGATCTTATTAACTGTTGAATTCTTACTGTATACTTTTTCTCTTGAAATTCTGTATTACTTCTAGCCTTTTACTGTTTTGCTTCATTTAGTTTTGTTTTTCTCTTTAAATAAAAAAAATAGTTTCTTTGTTTCCCACTGGAATCCCATGTTGGGAGCTATCTGTCTCCTATTTGAGTCTCACCCTTCAGGTTCTGGTCTCCTTTCTTAGAGATCAACATTCACCCTCATGCCTGACATCAGGAAAATCTACTTTCTTCTGTCAGATCCAAGCCTTACCCACAGTGTTAGGGATAATACTATAACCACGATAGGGCAAATATTCTGAGATACCACATAATAAACATCCTACACTGTAGGGAGCGGCTCAGAATAGGTGTCGCTGTCCTACCCCTCCCACCTGAGGCCATTTTGTGTGTCAGCCTACATTTCCCATGATCCTCCCCTTGCCTACAGTGCTCATGACGTGAGTGCCTTCCCGCTTCAGCCTACATCTCCCATAATCCCCCCTTGTTGACATCACGTCCGCTTACCTATGTGCCTACATATGACTTCCTGTTAGTCTGGTAGGCCCACAGCATATGAGAATATCCAAGCTGGCCCATCCTGTAAGGCCACGTCCCCTTTGACTCTATATAAGCCATGTACACTTCCTGAATAAACGAGACTCTATTGGAATCTCATCCTGTCACTGTCTCTCTTTTCTCTTGCCCAACCCCCCATCTCTGTCCCCTCTGCAGGAGAGGCCTACGGAGATCCGCGGGCCAGATCACTACACACACACACACACACACACACACACACACACACACACACACAGGATTAAATGAAGGATACCTAGGAATGAAACCCATACAGTAGAAGATCTTAAACTCAAAGAAGAACCAAAATATAGGACCATTGCCCCTGTTGACTGTATGAGTAGCTCCAATTCTTCACCACTCCTTAATGTATGAGTTTTACATGTGATCTTTGCAGTTCTTCTTCTTGATGTTTTTTAGTATATTTCCAGACTCTGACCTGAGCCTTTTTTGACTAAAAAAAAAAATCTATTCAGTCATTTAATTTCTATCCTGCACCTCTTGCAAGAGTGAGAAGAACATGCTTGCTGGTCATAGCAGAAAGATAAAAGATACACAAAGCAAAATCTAACTGCCCTGGCCACGTTGAGCATAACATCAACCTCTGAGAATCAGTAAAAATATTCAGTGACATTTTTTACTGTACCACTAAGGTTTTCGAAAGGTCGGCGTCTTCAACTTGGGCTAACTGGCGTAAGGCATCTTCTACCAGGTGACTTCGCCTGATTCTCAGTATTAATCTAGGTGATTCAACTTTTCCTTCCTCCCTTCCACGTTGGTATACCTTTTCTTCTGTCCTCTGTAGAAAGAAGTATATTGGTTGGCTTCTCATTTTGACTAGCAAGAATCCTAGAGATAGTTTAATGTTTCTCATAAAACATCCTTTGCAAAACATACATTTTATCACTACTGCCATTACTTGGTATACTTTCACTGTCATTAAGAAAAAGAACTATTTATCCACATGATGGTAGATAAAACAAATGTAGCATCAGAAAAACTATGGCACCTAAGAGTCATGTACAAGAAATTAGTCATCCCGCATGAATGGGGACACATAGTAATTGAAAACATCTCAGATCATACATTGTGGAATGGGATCCTGAAAGGCAACCCTGATACCCAGTGTGTTGAAACAGTGTGAACCTCATGAGCAATGGGCACTTCCAGGGCTCAGGAATAATGTTAGTGTAGGACAAAGATGGGAGAAGATAGACTCAAGGAGACTGATTCCTCTCCTAACTAAGGTGCATTAACCCAGAGGGCAGTCTGCTCTACAAGCACTAGAAACATGGCCCAGGTGGCCCCATTTTATATCTAGCATTGCTCCAGTTACTCTGCTTACTGTTTAGCTTTTTTGGGTACTCAGCATTGCATCACCACTTCAGTCCCTGACTTTGTCTCTGCTGAACTCTAGGTTAGACATTTAGAGATGGACTTGTCTACCTTACTCCAAACTTCTCTAGGGCTTCTTCATATCACAAGAACAATAAAAACGCATTTAGGACTGATGAACCAATGTCGTTCTCTTGGTGAGAACGTGCTATAATTGTGACAGCAAGGCCGGTGGCTATCAGATTCCTCTTTTAAGTTCGTAGTTTGGGTGTGTTTACCCATGTTAACGCTCTTCAAGGTTCCCAGACAAGGGTATATGGGGCTCTGGGCTTGGGAACCCCCCTTCTAGATTTCTGTCACCACTATATACTCTACTCTGAGAAATTTACTCATGATGTCACTACCTTTTCCTATGTTTTCTTTGAAATGATCCTTTCTGAAGTAGGTTGTTAGCTTGTTAGGAAATGGGGCAAGTACAGTCTCTGGTCCTCTCTGGTTGTGGGTCATCTCCTGTGTCTAAGAATCTGCAACTCTGGGTTGCAGACTGTAGAGCAATGCATTCCATGTCCATAACAGACAATGGCCGGCACTGCTCTCTGCTGACTCGGGCAGAGAGAAACATTATACTGCCACTCACCTACTGCAGAGCCAGATCAAACACCTCCGTCTTATCTTTCTCCCAGCTTCTCTATTCCTGTTCTTTATGCATTTGTTTTGACTTTGTCTTCCTCCACATTTGAATTAGTACTCAGATTTGGAGGTTACATCTTAAGACTATAATCATGTCTCTGGAGAATGCGACTATGAAATGTGCTGTCCAGCTCTGCCCATGGGAACTACAACCAGGAGTTTCCTCTTCTAGTTCTTCATTGTGTGTAACCTGCCTGGTCCAGTGTCCACTCAACCCCCCTAAGGGTGACAGACCAAATAGATCACACATTGCTGAAGATGAATACATTACAAAATGACATATTTGGTAGTGCAAATTGAAAGGAAAGTTAGATTTGAGAAGGAAAGACAATCTACATTTTTCCTTTCCCAGGCACACTCGGAAAATAAAAATCGAAATGACCTGGATGAACTTACTTATAAATACACTAATAACAGACTGTAATAACAGTATGTAGAGGAAGAGTCTTTCTCTACTGAATTCAGTAGGAGTCAGAAGGAAGTACTTTGTGTCTGAATTATTGTAAATAAACCTAGGAATTATGGACTTATGCAATGTTTCACATGTGAAAATGTTGTGTAAGCCATCATCTAATTAATATAGAAAGGAAATATTGTATAACTGAAACAGCTTCTTTTACGGACATAGTGTCCTGGACTTCTCCATGTTCCATCCACGTGGCCAGGATATTTTGAATTCCTAGTTTGTGATGGGTACAACCTTGGATTCCTATGAGTATTAAAGTATAAACATCATGGATAAATGGATATAAACGTGCTTTTAGGTGTCACCTAGAAGATAAACCCCAGAAATCAACCAAATCTTTGAAAATCTTTAACATAATGTCTGGCAGAGGAGCATTAAATATATGTGAGAACAGAGGCTCATAATGAAAAAGAAACAAAATATATGTGCTATGTGGAAATAGTATAGCTACTGAAAAGCAGCAGAAGGGGGAATGTACATTAATATCAGAATAAACTCAGTGACAGGCTCAAGTATTAACTGGGAACAAAAGAATAACAACTGGGTTTACAAAGCTCCAAGAAGCTTAAATAGAGAAAAATCCAAACAGCGACACTAAGAATACATTATTGTAGTAACTGAGAGTACTGTAGACAGAGCAAGAGAGAGAAAGGACAATTTATTGGACAGTTTCAGCATTTTTCAGAATAGGAAAACAAAAGTTATTATCTGAAGAAAGTGAGGACCAGGATATGAAATAATGGTAAACACAAATTAAAATTAAAGTGAAACAGCTAATTCATTAAATTAGGAAAGATAATACACTTTCGTAAAGATAGCATTGAATGAGGCATTTCATACACAGCTTGTAGAAACTTAAATTGGTATAAAGTTTATATAATTTGGCAACATTTAATAATTAAAGGAAAAGGATTAAATATTATCTTCCTTGGGAATGATGTTTAAGCGTTTTATGGTAAGGAAATATCCCTGACTGAGGGAAAGTCCTTTATAGAATTCCAGTTAGTGACTAGAAGAAATTATGAGATTAGAAGTATCATCTTATTGCAAACCTTGTTTGATTTTTTTTTTTTTTGAGACAGGGTGTCACTATGTAATTCAGGCTGGCCTCAAACGCTATGTGTAGTCCAGGTTAGTCTCAAACTCACCATGATTCTCCGGCCTCAGCTTCCCAAATGCTGGGATTACATGTGTGCGTCATCATGGCAATTCTAATATTTTTTTTGTTTTTCATATGGCAAACTTTAACAAAAATAGTCATTAAATATTTTTATATCCCTATAAAATGTGAAAGGATTGATGGGAAATATCAAATTGGAATAATCACGTAGTAATCTCCTGAATCCACTGAGGAATCTCAGCACGTACAAGAATAAGACAATCAGAAATAATGCACTGCAGTATGGAAAATGAGAAAGTATTAGGCCTGGGACTTGCTAAAAACTGTAACAGCTATGAAAACAAAAGTGACAGATGAAGGAAGTGTGACCAAATGTTGGTAACTGCTGAACTCTGAGGAGGAGGCTCATTATACCAGTACCTTATTTTATATATGTTTCAAAATTTATATAACAAAAAGTGTAGATCACCTGCTGTGGACTGAGGGTGTCTGTCATGTTTATGACCTGGAAGCTTGGTCCCAGTGCGGTGATGGTGAGAGGTGGCAGGACCTTTTAGAGGTGGGCACTGGTGGGAGGTGATTAGCTCATGGACACCGCCCTCAGCAGAGGTCAACGCTGGTATCACAGAATGAATTAGATCTTGTGACATCAGGGTGTTGATAAAGCTAGGTTGACCACAGTTGGTCCTTTCAGCAAATGGTTAGTTCCCTGTCTACCATGCTGTAATTCAACAAGAGAGAGTGGCCTTGCCAGGATGCCTGGGTCATGTTCTTAGATCTATAAACTGTGAGTTAAACCTGTTTTTTTCTTTATAAAGTATCCAGCTGTGAGCATGTTGTGATAGCAGTCAAATTAATATAGCATACATACCTGCATTTTTACAATTGAATCAGCATGTAATAATTTAATTTTGGATTCCAAGTTAAAGATAAATGGGAAATCACTGAAAACAAAATGGTTGCTGATATATGCAGGTACCTAAAATATAAACACAAAAAATAATTTTGCAATGAAGAGGAAAAAACTCCATTCTTTTACTTTATTATCTTAAATTATTTCCTCCTATGGTTTTTGGAATTTGCTTTTAGGGATCCAAATAACTTTAAAAAATTGTTCCAAGAAAATATGTTTTATTTTTGAGTAAGGGATATGTTAAGTTTTAATGATTATCTAATTTAGCAAATTGGCATTGCAATGAGGAAACTTTCAAGTCTTAATTTATCAAAGGGACATCCACGCAGCCATCAGTGTGCCCTGCTCGAAGGTGTGAACCCTTTGGTAAAGGGCGTGTTATGCTTACCAGTTTGTTCTCCCGCATGAAAAGTCTTTCTCTCTCTTCGGTAAAGCAGAAGATGTCAGACAGTTCATTTATGTTGAAAGTACTTTCTGGTAACTGACAGGTAGCTTTGTTTACCTTAGAAAGAATATGACCGGGGTTTATATTTCCTGTTAATAATTAACTAATTAATGAAATACAGTTATAGGTATGTACCAAATACCAATTTTTCAGTGATGAAGTACAGTTCTATAAAATATCTATTTCCTGACCTATAATTTCTCCAATATTAATAAAGAAATATAGGCTAAATATAAATTGTCATTGGTGAGATTAGGAAACTAATTTCTAGAGTTTATGGAAGTTGTTTATGGGTCTTAAAAATAAAAAGCACCATAAAAATCCAAAATATATTTAGCAAATTCAGCACCTTTTTCATGAATTAAAAAAGGTGAATTTGGCACATGGTTTTGTCATGCATGGGTTAAAACAAGGTAAAAATCATCATGGGTGGCTTTTCAATGTCAGAGCCATCATGGGAGTAGAACTCTCAAAGAGGAGTCTGTGCCCAGCAGGAGAGGTAAACACAGGTCACACAACAGGTCACAGTAGCTGTGCAAAGTCTGCAGTGACTGGAAAAACCACTTCACAGTGGCCCAGAGCAAATCCCTGGAAAGCAGAGGCTGACAGCCTCTGAGATGTGACCTCAGTGACCCAGTAGGCCTCTGAGACCTGTCGCTAATGACTTTGAGAGTAAACACGTTGCTCCTTCCCTGGACAAAAAATTTTAAGTTGTTCTGATACCATGCCTTGTATGTAGTTAGAGAGAAAGAAATTCTAAAAGCCCACTTTGCCCAGGAGAAATGAAAATATCTGTATAGTAAGAAACTTGTACACCAGTGTAAATGGATTAACTTCGCAAACATTGTATAGGAGAAAGAAACTAGACAGAAAAGACCACATGGCATGTGATTCCATTCACAGTGAATGCTCAAACTAGTAGAAACAAAAAGTAGGTTAGTGATTTCCTAGGGCTGGGATAGGAAGGGGACCCTGAAGTTGAGGAGGCACTAGAAATTGACTGCTAATAGAGGTAGAACTTGTTTCTATGTCCATTCTAAAACGACAATGGTGTAGACTGTATGACTTTGTGGATATTCATCCTGGAGCAAATCTATAATAAGTAGGGCCAGGGATGTAGCTCAGTAGGAAGGCCCTGTGTTCAATTCTGAACCGGGAAAAAAAGAAAAAAAGAAAAAGAAAAGAGAAAAACAACTCCAAATGGCTGAGATCTAAGGGACTGTGACTTAATAAGCTGAAGTATACATTCTTCAGATGAAGCTTTACCTTATGTACTTCTTTCATCATTTGTAGCAGTGTGTTGAAATTATCGGCACTTGCATAGTTTACAGATAGTTCAGAGAGGATGGCTGTCTTAAGCATCTGGACCAATGTGTTCAGAGAAGATGCATCCAAAGATTTCCAGCACTTTCCTGAGGGCATAAAATCAACCATGATAAATATGGCCCTCTTCTCAACCCCCAAGTCCCACAGTTTTAACCAGCTTCTTTATTCTAAGAAACAGATTAGGTTTTCCATTTCTGACGACATACTCCATAACCCATAATTCTATCATCCTGAACAACACTTATTACCTACAGATGTAGGGAAAAGATTTTTTCTCTGATTAAGTATCATTAGGACTAAAAGCTCAAATTCATGATTTGAAGAAATTTGTTGATGGTTCATATTTATGCTTAATTTACTGACTTCATAATTTTAAAACTGAAAAATTTAGAAAACAGACCCAGCTGAATACATATGCACATGCAAAATATTTTCAAGGACATGTTTCATCTTAAAATTAAACTATTATGTATGTTTTCAGATTTTATGAACAATGGTTATAAAGGGACACAGATTTTTAAAAAATAGTCAATAATATTCTAATGTTACTAAGATTACAACCTGAAATTTGGTACTTTTAGAAGATAATGCTCAGAAAATAACCTTATCAAATGTTAAAATGAATTACCATGCTAATGTAACTAAAACAGCATTAACCAGATACATGTAAAGCAGCTCAATATAGCAGAGTAGAGATTGTGTAAAGGGACCCAATTACACCTGAGTATAGGGTAAAACTGGTACTGCACATTAGTAAGTTAAAGCAGATCACTTAATACATGTGTATGGACAATGGAAACTGGTATATAAAACATAACATGTAACCAAGGTAAACTCTACTTGGTTCAAAGATTTAAACACAAAAATGAACTAATCAAAATTACAGTGGGGTGGAATGAAATTCTGTCATATGTGACAACATGGGTGGGACTGGAGGGCAGCAAGTTAAGTGAAGTAAGCCAGGCACAGAAAGACACACATGGCATGTTCTCACTCCCACGAGGAAGATAAAAGATGATCTCAGAGAAGTGGTTACCAGAGCCTGGGAGGTGGGGGGCAGAGGCAGAGCTGGAGAGGATGGCTGGGTGGTGGAGAGCTGCAGCTGCATAGGAAGAATAACTTCTAATGTGTAAAGCATGACAGAAGAGCTATGGTTAACAATGACTAATTAAATATTTCACAATAGCTAGCAGAGAGGACTTCGGCATATTCTGAATACAAAGAAATGATAAATGACTGAGATGATATATAAGTCACTTACTCTGATCTAATCATTACGCACTGTACACATGTAGTAAAATGTTATACTGTACCTATAATTTATACAATTACCACATCAATCAAAATAAAAATAAAATATTATAGTAGGAACACAGAATTTTAATAAAATTTTCAGAGTACAGTAGACCTTTTGACGTATGACCCCCCTAAACCTAGAAACCACAAAAGAAAATATAACAATAGCAGAATCATACAAATGTTTAAAAATAATTATTTATGACAAAAATACCATAGAATAAAAATTGAAAAATAGCTTAAGGAAAAACTTACTTTTAATTCTTATTATTAATGAAGAGTTATTTGCTGTACTGGTTTAAAGCTTCTAAAATAAAAGAAGTGCACTAAAAACCAATAGAAAAGGGAGGGAACAACCAGTAGTTCACAGAACATGGTGATCAAATGAACTTGAGATATAAGAAAATACCTCATCCATAAGAAAAATTCAAATTAAAGTGATTTTTTATTAGATAGCCAAGATTAAATTCGAGGATGCTGTTGAAAAAATGGGGGTTGATATTTGTGGATGAAGTTTAAATGGGTGCATCCACTTTCAGAGTTGCCAAAATGCCCAGTTCTAGGGCTGCAGTTTATATTGACAACAACGTAAATAGTGTCCACTTCAAATTGGGTGAAACTGTGCTTCACTGACTGTGAAGGGTCATTTAGGAAAGTGTTTTAAGATAATAATGCACAATTTGGTGCTGTAATTTTGCTTCCTGGAAACTTTACTGCATGTGTAAATTTATACATGTACAAGGAAAGGCATGTTAGCACCATGACAGCTACAAGAGAGTACATGCAACTACCCACGTCACATCTCCTAAAGGGATCCTCTTCAGACAGTGCTATGGTTTGGATTTGGTTTGCCCCCTAAGAATGCCTGTGGCTTGGCCCCATTGTGGCAATGCTAAGGTCATGGATTTCATGAGGTAAGGCTCACCTGGGGACCTGCCCTGATGAGAGTTCCTGGGAGAAAACTGTTTAAAAAGCCCAAACCTGGCCCCATGCAGTGTTCTCACTTCCTGTATCAAGATCTGTCCCACATGCGCTCCTACCATTACCACTGCCACAGATTGACACAGCCAAGATGACCCTCACCAGTACCGACTTGGTGCCAGACCCACACTCATGAGTCTCCAACACTGTGATTTAAATAACTTTGCTTCATAAGAAGCCTGACTCAGGTATTTTGTTATAGTAATAACAAGCTGATTGATGGAGCCAGTAAAGAGATGAAGACAATTCTACAGTTGGGCAATGGAAGAATCTCCTTGAGAAACTGTTAAGTAGGAAGAAGCTGCAAAGGAAGAATGTGAATCGTTTTCTGCTGTCAAGAGAATCAAGACAGCCAGCTGTTGTACTGCATGACTATCATCCCAACAGTGAAGGGTGAAGGTACAGGATAGCATGTTCAAGGTCAGCCTGGGACCCATAGTGAGGTCTATGCCAGATCTTGTCTTCAAAAGTAAAATAAAAGCATAAAGAGAGAGTAATGCACAGAATATCCTTTGAAAGTTACAAAAGACACTAGAATTTGTAGCCCTGTTCTAGGAGGGGAATTGGGGTAGCTTATATTTCACTGTATGTAACCTTTATACCTTTGAGCTTCATATATTCAACATTAGCTTAAAATTACAGGAGTTTCTATAATATGGAATACAATAAAGAATAACAAAGTTTAACATTGGTTTGTATCTACTATGGTGAAAATATTTAAGTTTTCAAAACAACACAGAGAAAGTTTTAAAGTACAGATTTATGTCGGCTATATACTCTATCACACTTTGCTGTCAAACCACAGGTTTGGTGGTGTGTCTTAATTTCAGCTTTTCAGGAGGATAAGGTGAAGGAGCTCTTGAACCCATGAGTTTGAGACCAACTTGGGCAACAGAATGAGATATTATATAAAACAAACTTGAAGAGTTACACTTACTCTATATGGTAAGACTAACAGTTATAATAGATTTAGGTTAATCTTTGCAATAATTCACACACCAGGTACTCAAGCATATCCGTTTTGGAAACTTTTATCCAAAATTTCCTATAATTTCTACTTTAGATAATGATTATCAAGTATGCAGATAAAGTGATATAAAACTTACTCAGGATTTGTGAAGATTTCTCTTTCATTTTACAAACAGCCTGTGCAAATGGAATCACCAGGCTCCTCCAGTTTTTAGAATCATGCATCACAGGACATTCTGGGAGTAGGAGGAAAACTGACAGAGCTTCTTGGTGTGGAGAATGGGACGGAAGAGCTCTGAGCAGATCATCCTTCAGACATTCAGTTACCTGTGGTTGAAACAGATCAGAGGGAAAAGGCAGATTGCATTAGATGAAGAGTACCCGTGAGAAGCGAGTTATAGGAATGGGAGTTGCATTCCACCATGTTCCAACTGGAAAAATCATTTAGTTTTCTGAAAGCCATCATTCCTTGTATCCCAAATGCCCTTGAGGTAATACTTGGGGAGCCATTCTTGCCACTTTACATCAGGGTGCAGGAATGGAATGAAATCACATGTACATGAACATACTGAGTGAAGCACATTCAAAAGAAGTACAAAACCCTCCAAAAGTCATAATGTAATTGGGCACAGTGGTATGTGCCTCTCCTCCCAGCTTCTAGGAAGACTGAGGCAAGAGGACTGCCTGAGTCCATGAAGTCAAGATCAGTCTGGCAATATAACGGGACCACGTCTCAAAATCAGTATAAAAGCAAACCTGTGTAGGTCACATCAATGTTCTTGCTGGCAAGAGAGCTATTATCCTCTCCCACACATTCATACACATAAAATCCATTTCTTTTTGCTTTTTTCCTCATTCATCAGTCAAAAATTATCAGAGCAAAACAGGTGTACTGTTTTTTATATTTTATATTGTTTATTTCTTCCAGAAGTAAACTTGCAAAGTAGAATGCACACAAAAAACATATTAGTGGAAATGATCTCTATGGCATTCTGTATATTTGTACATGCTCTGAAAGTTCACCATATGTCAGGTGATATCATTTAAGTAATTTTATTTAATCTAACTCCTAATTACATATGTCAGGGCTTCCTAGCCCTTTTCACTTGAAAACTTTGTTTTATAGACGAGGAAGGAGAGACTGAGTTGGGAAGGGTAGACAAAGAAGTCATTCAACTAGTGCACATTTCAGTGGTGTCACTGGGACCCACATTCAGATTGGCCTGACCTAATATCTCACATGATAGAGAAAACTCCCTGTGTGATCTTCATCAGTCTCCTTCACTCCCCTCCTGGGTTCACAGGACAACGGCATTTCCCAGCCTCCCCCGAGTTGCATGGGGCCATGCCGCTGAGTCCTAGCTAAGGAGTCTGGGTGGAGGCCACAGGAAATACTTTCAGGCATGGCCCCCAAAACCTTTCATATGACCTTCCACAGACCAAGTGTAAGCAAGCCTAGGGAAAGTTTACCACCTGAGAGACTAGAAACTGGAAGAAAGGAACCAGTGAAGAAAAAAGACGTGGGCAGAGCTGCCGTCTGCATCCACCTCTTACTGGACTAGGATGAGAGAAAGAAATCTTTATTGTGTTAGGCCACTAGAGATGGGAGTTATTACAGTGGCTACCATTATTAAGTCCATCTAGTACAGGTATACTCCTAACTGTAAGGTTTGCTTATACATGTTATAAGGCCTAAATAAGATGACACACACAGTAATACACTGTGAAGTGCTACCTATTACTTTTACTACACTCATGGTCTTAAAATTTGTGTTTTACATGCCTAAGAGCACACCATATCTGTGGATTTCTAATAAGTGTTATGTGGGAAAACAGCAACACAAAGTGAGTAACTCCTAGAATTATAGGCTCAAAAAATTAATTTCTTTTACAATGTGTCATGAGAGAATGTGTGACTTACTAATACGCATCACAACTCTATACCAGGTGGGACGTTCCAAAAGTAATTTCATACAGAGCCCTTTTCTCTGTCTCAATGTAATAGCATACCGGCCCTCACAGGTGATTAGGTCACAAGGTAGAGTCCTCATAGCTGGTATTAATTCCCTTATAAATGAAATACAGGAGAGACCACTAACTCCTTCCACTATGTGAGGACAGAGAAAATACAATTAGTAATCAAAAAGTTGGCTCTCCTCCAACTCCACTTATGCTGGCCCCTTTGATTTTCCAGCTTCAGAACTATGACAGTAAATTTCCTTTTTCGTTGCATTTCTTTATTTTGTTTTGAAAGAGTATCTTGCTCTCTTGGCCAGGCTGCTCTTGAACTCCTGAGCTCAAGAGTTCTAGTCACCTCAGCTTCCTAGGTAACAGCCATCTGAGGCATTCACCCTGTACCTCGCTAATTTCTATTATTTTTATAATGGAACTCCATTATAGAATTCTGCTATAGTGGTCCCACAGCACTAGGACAGGCTGGTTCTCTGTCTGTTGTTAATTCAACTCCCTCCCTCTTGTAATGAACACTACCCCCCACACTATGACTCCAACCATAGTTCTCTCCCACCCAGCTCCCCACAAAACTCAACTGCAGTTATGTTTGTTTCCATAAAGAAATGCTACTGTTCGAATTCTCAAGTAAGTATTGACTATTACCATGGAAGAAATCCATTCCTTTTCCATTAACTTTTTGAAGGTGTCTCTTGCCATCTGTAAATCCACATCAATGGAAATGGTTTCTTTGGTTTCTCTTTGAATACAAGAAATGTAAAAGGCCACATAAACATTTATAAAATTCATGTGTCATTATTTTAACTTATTGTATATAAGCCACAGACAAGAGAAAAGCATACAAGTTTTATTAAAATTGCTTGTACATGGGGATTTTTACCAGAGTGAAGTCTGAAGCATAATGCTTTTATACTTTTTATACAAAACAATCTGTGGTGAAATAGCAGGACAAATGGATCTCTTGAGTAGAGTAGTAAATTCTACAGATGGTACCAATTACAATATGACAGTGTTGGAACTAATGAAAGATAAAGGTTATCACTATGAGTTTATTTATTCAGGTTGTTTACCTGAATGCTGGTTCACTCAATGGCATTTGGTGTTTAATGATATTTTTTCATTTTTGGCATGGAAGGACACGTTTTCCCCAAAACCTCTTTATGGTTTGCTGCATGTAAGAAAGACTGGCCTAATGGCCTTTGGTGAAATTACAGTTCCTTGGTTGGGTTTGATTTGGAATGATCAATATTCCAGTTCTGTATATTTTGAGCTGACATACCCTCAACACCTTCTAACATGCAATAAGCTTTAGGTTACGGCCAGAGTGAGGAAGAAGAAGCATATCCTGTCTGGGAGAATTTCTCCCTTCAGGTATGGAAGGAACAAATGTAGGAGAAGGATGGAAGGAGGAGCAGGGGTAGTGTCCAGATTTTTTTTTTTTTTTTGCCTCTGGTTGGGATAAGTATAGGTCTATAGGGTTACTTTAGGGATTCTAGAGATTACCTCATGATCAGGAAGTCACAGCACTGAGCCCTTCTGGGTTCTCTAGTTCCCAGATGAGGTCACTGGGACCCAACACATTCTAGCTCTTTAAGGTGACAGAGAATGTTGCTGAGTAAAGAATCAGTGAGCTATGTAGGGACAAAGATTATGGCTTAAGAAAGCACAACCTAGTGGTATGAAGGAGATAAGCAATGTTAGTGAAGAGTTAAAATTTGTAATGGTCCAGTAGAACATTACACAGTAAAATGAAGGAATTCTGTAACAACCTATGGAGTTCCACATGCTGAACTCTACACATTGATAACAAAACTAACATATTAACTGACTCTAAATTTTTCATTTTAATTATTTCCTAGTGTTTTAAATGAAAGTAAGTCTCATGGAAATATTACCTCTTCTTCAAAAAGCTTGCAGTCAGACAGGCAGGAGATGAAAATATCATTCTAATTTCACTGCAAAAGTAATAAAAAGGGTTAAATCACAACCTACTGTAAAGCAAGATTCCTTTTATCTTATGTGAACCAATGCCAAGTAATCATTATTAATGAAAATATTTAAAGAATCTCCCAAATTGTGAATTAGTACTTTGTGTATTTTGCTACATTTCACCAAAACCCCGAATTGATTTGCTTAAGTTATTTACATTAAAGTAAAATCCATCATTCTGAAGACAAAAACTCACAGAACTCTAGAGAGTAAACTATGAAGATCTGGAGATAGATCAACTTATTGGAAGCTTTGTGAACTTGGTGGAACCATTTCTGTATCTCACTCACTGAGCAAGATGCCTGGGATATTGTACATTATCAATACATGTCGTGATTACATTAATGACAAATGAATGCATAATGAATGACTAGTTCCATAACAGGTGGTGGAAGAGAACAATGATCAAAATGCAAATGGCTTCACAACAAAGCCAGCTAGGATAGAATGACTAGTGCTTCAGAAACATAAAAAAGGCTTATAATTTAGCAGTCACCTATTAGCTGCTTCCCTTTTAGCTCTTTCTATTGTTGTCCATCTTTTTGCTAGAGACTCATGAATTCGGCTTATCTCTGGCAGGTTTTTCCTGGAAATGCCTGTGGAACAAGTACCCTTCAAGGAAGAGAAAAGCAAGAATGAGCAGGAAACAAAGAGACGCGTTAAGTAACAAGCAACGCAGTGAAGTGTCTGGCAAGGCAGCAGGCAGGCCCCCCTGCTAGGCAGGCGTTCGGTAGGTGCAGCGCTGGCATCAGCCTTGCCTGGCTAGTCCATGTCTTTGCCTATTATGACTCTTACTCTCATCATTTTAAAAAAGGGAGACAGGGGCTGGGGGTTTAGCTCAGCGGCATAAGCGCCTGTCTTGCAAGCAGGCAGTCGTGAGTTCAATCCCCGGTACCGATAAAAAGGAAAAAAAGACAAAAAAAAAAAAAAAAAAAAAAAAAAAAAAAAAGGGAGACAACACAAAACAAAAATAGAGACTCAGATACTTGTCTCTGAATATTCCTTCCAGCACTGTTTACAACAGCCAAACGATGTAAGTAACCCAAGTGTCTATCAACAAATGAGTGAATCTAAAAGTGGGGCATATACATGCAAAGGAATATAGTTAGCTTTAAAAATTAATTAAGATGTGTTACATACATATGCCAACTCTTCCTGAGAAATGTAATGATTATGCATTCCAAACATGTACTAATAAAGAATAAAAACTGAAAAAATAAATGCTTCAATAAAAAGGAACGATATTCTAATATAGGGTAAAATATGGATGAACTTTGAAAGCATACAAAATGAAATAAGACATAAAAAGAAAAACATTTTATAGTTCCACTTATATGACATGTCTAGAATACTGTAGTCAAATTTATAGAAACATCCAGGCCTGGTGGCATGTTTGTCTAATTTTGTACATCAGGTGTTTTTGAACACACACCAAAACAATTATCTATAGAGGTGGTGCATCCATTTCAGAGTCTATAGGAAGCGTTTCAGCTTGCTGTCAGCATACATAAGAGATCACATGAAGTTCCCTAAGCTTTGTTGCCAGTTTTGCCAATTTAGTTGCTACAGCAATGTGAAGTTGAAGCTGCATTGGATAGGGTAACTCAACAATTAAAAGGAATTAGCATTATGCCCTAATTTTTATTGTCCCTTTAGAAAAAAAAGAATCAAATATTTAAAATATTTTAAATCTGGAATGTGAAAAAGAGTAAGGATCTTTTTATACTTAAATTAGAGAATCACAAATTGTTTAGTATTTATGCTTTCCCTTTTAACATTTATAGTAGAAATATTGAAAGCATACAGTGTATATCAACTTTGGTGTGAAATGAATGTTTTATATTAGAATTAAAAATAACTTACAGCTTACTTAACCTGGCTAGATGAGGAAAGAGAAACAAAAAAATTTGTCATATGATTTTTGTCCTTTTTTAAAAAAAATTTGATTAATTTGTGAGCACAATTCATAATAGCCCAATTATGGAAATGGTCTATATACCCATTAACAGACAACGAATAGATAAAATGAAGCATATACACATAATGGAATATTATCCATAAAGAATTCAACTCATTTCTAGAAAAATGAATGAATCCTAAGACTATAATTTTAAGTGAAATAAATCAGATACAAAAAATTAAATATAACATTGATTCTCTTCTATGAGAAACTCAAAATATAAATTAAAAACAAAGTAAAGGAGAGATGATAGGAAACAAGCTGGACTTTGGAGATAAAGGGGAGCTGTGAACAGGGACAGGGTAGACTAAGGAAGGGAAAGAGAAGAAACATGACCAAGATGATCACTTCTTAGATGAAGAAATATAAACAGCAAATAAATATAATGTTCAACATCATTGGTCACTTGAGAAATGCAAATCAGAACTACACTGAGATTCTCACCCCAGAAAGAATGGCTCTCGTCAACATATCAACCAGTGACAGGTACTGGCAGGGATGTGGAGAAAAAGGAATGCTTTACCATTGTTTCTGGGAGTCTAGACTGGTGCAGCCAATGTGGAAATCAGTGTTGAGACTCCTTAAAAAACTAGGATTGGGGGCTGGGGATTTAGCTCAGCGGCATAAGCACGTGCCTTGCAAGCAGGCAGTCATGAGTTTATGACTTGCCACGGATCTACCCTCATCCGCACCAGTCTCTATCAGAACGGAGAAACTATTTCTGCTGAAAACTCTTCAGTTCTGTGTGGGATTCAGCTTCCTCTCTCCTCTCCCGGGACAGTGATTCTGCACTGATCCTCACACATCCTGTGAAGCGCTTCCATGGCTCTCTTCTTCCCTTCACATCAAAATTTCTCAGACTTGCCACCGTCCTTGTCCCCACTGCCTTCGCTCCTCTCTCCTTCTCTTCTACTCAGGCAGGTTTCATCCCCTTTCCACTAAAATAAGGCAAATGTAATTCTCTGTCTGCCCTTCTGCTTGACTCTTGCCATATCTGACTGTGCTGATCACTTCTCAGAACCTTCTCTTGGCTATAAGCCACCCTTTCCTGGTTTTCCTCTATTTCATAAACTGTTCTTTCTCCAGCTCCTTTTCTACTCTTTCTCCACTATTTGGCCTTTGATGAAAAAGTCCTCAAGGCTTGATCTTGCACCTGTTCTCATTTTCGCACTCTCTGGGCACCTTGCTTTTATTCTTTTCTTTTTAGTAGGGATGTCACTGTGTTTCCCAGGTTGGTCTCAAACACCTGAACTCAGTCAAGCAAGGCTCCTGCTTCAGTCTCCCAAGTGTCTGGGATGATAGGTTGTGCCTGGCCTTTTCTCTTCCCTTTTAACCCAAAAGGTGTTTACTGGGATGGTTTCCTACCAATCTTGATTCAGGGTGTTCTGGGTGCTGCCTCCTGAGAGCATCTATAAGCACTGCGTTGCCTCCCACAGGTTTGCAGTGGACAGTGGAGCAGCCAGCACACCAAGCAAGCCTGCCACCTTGCACGGCTAAAGATCACAAAGGCTTTATAACATCCTAAGCATTTTATATCCACGAAGTGGGAACTGTGGTGCTCGTCCTGCTTTTCCTTTTCCCTTCTGGAGAGGGATGAAGGAGATCTTTTGCAAGTGGCACGTTTTCAGGGAGGTCTTTGCCACTGGAAATATGTGCAGTGATCTATTAATCAGGCCCCAGGCTTTAAATACCCTCTGCAGTTGGTAGTTTCCATGTTTTTATACTCACTGCAGAGATCCTCCTTCAGCTCCAGATTTGGGTCTCTAACGACATCTCTAGACCTCCTCCTCAAGGAAGTTTCATACTGACACCATCTCACACTGGCTCCATATCATAAACTCTTTACTGCTTTTTACTATGTTTGCCCTCACTGGCTGCTTTCTGTCACACACACTAAACCTACTCTGCCCCCTTGACCTTTCTCTGTGGAATTCCCTCTACTTTGAATGCGTTCTTTCACTCAGTTTTTTCATTTTTAAAGTGGGATAAATAATTACTGGAGTCAATGTGAACATTAATATGTTGATCCATTTAGAAGATTTTGATCGGTACCTGATACATGTCAATTGCAATTAAAATTAGTCATTACTGTTCTTACCATCATGGATATTATTACTAATAAAAAGTACAAAAGAAATGCCTTTGAGTTTGGAGATCATAGCTGTTAGAAGTGACAAATGAGGAAGTGAGAATTACACAACATTCTCTCAAAATATTCTAACATAGAACCTTATCATTTTAGTAAGAAATATGACTACATATGAATGATGATTGTCTTATATTCTACACTGAAAACTAGAGGAAAAAAATTTATTAAAGAAACAGAAAATATGCTCAATACCTGATGAGTTGTCACAAAGTCAGCATATGTTCCAGCAAAAATGTGCTTGATTTGAATATCCCTGAGATCTACAACAAAGTTAGAAATCTATGCTTAGAGTTGTTCACAGTAAAAAATAAATCTGATCCTTAACCAAAGCAATAATTTATTGGCCATTTATACGCTTATAAATTTCAACTGTGAACACAAGAAAAGATTAATTTAGATCACATTAAATGTCATATATTCACTTAAAGTTTAGTTTCTCAGGGCTTTTCACAGTGAATACAGATTGATGTGTTTTAGAAGAGATTTGATTACATTTGTAAAAAGTATATCGTTCTGATACTTAAGTGATCAATTCTAGGTCCTCCTTTATATTACTTTAATCTTTAGAAATAATTACCAATTACTATAGGAATCACTACATAATAAATAATGCACAAATTTAAAACAAATGGACTAGAAGAATCATAGTTAAGTGGACCCTTCTGAAAGGAAGCTGAATAATATATTTCCTTCAGTAGCATTAACTTATACAAAATCACAAATTAGCAGGACCATTCATACCATCAGCAGAAATCAGGCAGCTGATGTCAGAGTTCTCCGATGGGGTCTCTGGATGAGTTGGATTGCTTGTGTGACTTGGTTCACGACCAAAAGACACCACCTGACCAGTAGTGTAGACATATGCAAGGGTGTGGTAACTACAGGAGAGAACATATATCATAATAAAGACCAAAGTACTCATAGTTTTTGAGAAATATGATGTCTTTTTAACAAAAAATATGATTTGAGATGATTTTTGAGAGAGTTGATGTCTTTTAACACAATTTACCTTTACTGAATACCCAGCTCTTTTGTTCACGCTGTCAGTGTTAGAGAAGGCATCAGATGATGGGAATAAACACTAGCTATTAACTTACTACTGATCTTAAAGATAGAATACTACTGACAGGTTTTTACTATGTTTTTTAAAATTTGTATTTGAAATGTGAGTATTTTTTAAATGCATTGGGTTAGATACTGAAATAGTTAAAATGCCTGAACACATACACAAATGTGTATCGTATTCTACCTATATGAGATTAATTTTATCTTAAGCAGTCAAGCACCCTTTTTGTTATCAACCCATCCCCTACCCTCAAACTCCAATTAAGGTTGTCTACATACAGTAGACTTCTAATAATTTCTTACTACTAAGAAATTAGTTAATTAAAAGTCTAAGATCTAGACGAAAAATTGAAAATTTAAACTATATTTTACAGAAGTAAATTCTGAGGCAAAAATGCCGTATAAAAGCAATAGTCACATATTTTAGGGTCTTACAGCTGGATAAGAACCTGGGTTAATTGCTTCTAAAGTAATACAATATAACACTTCTACCAATGCCAAAAGAAAATGAAGCAAAAGCCTATTACCTTCCACAGTCTATCTGTGAAACTGGGCCACCAATTCCTTCTACGAGTTGTGGGCCTGTCGTCTGGCTCACGCCGTTATGCCCCAACTGTCCAAAGCTATTGTCTCCAAAAGTGAACACCTGGTCATTCTGTTTTTAAAAAGGAGGAATCAGATGGATTTCATGTTAAAAAAAGTAACTAAACCCTTATAGAATAAATGCTAGAAGACAGTATGAGAGCAATATGTGGATTATAATTTCCATATAAATAAAAGAGGTCCTTAAATATTTCTCATAGTGCATGTAGATCTAAGCATGCAAAATCATTGCACTACACATTCATATACTTTTTGTCACTTTAAATAAAGATTGGAGAAAAAGAACTAGGCATTGGGTAAGTGCTTGTTGAATAAACAGATGGACAATTTAACTGGATCAAGAGCAACACCAACATTTAAATATAGGGTTGCTTTATTTATTTGAGCATTTTCCTGAAAATACTTTTTTCAAAGAAGATTCTGTAATTAAAAACAACTTTTGCCAGCTGTTGTGGCTCATACCTGCAAACCCAGCTACGTAGAAGGCTGAGGCAAGATCACTCATTTTTAGCACATCCCAGGCAATTTAACAACTTAGTGAGACCCTGTCTTGAAAAACAAAAAGGGCTGAGACTCCATGTGAAGGCCCGGGTTTCAGTCTTTTGTACCAAGGAAACAAAAACACCTAAAAATCAACTCTAGCTTCTTGCTGTCAATTAAGAATAATGTAAACAAAACAATTGAAAGGTTTCTAATTTAAGATATGCTTTTAGAGTGATAAGGGGAGTGACTAAAGTATGTTCTGTGCATGAACAAATCTGCCAAATGCAACTAACTCATTAGTATATACTGAAAAATGTTGGGATCCTAGGTTTAGTGTAGTCTTTCCATATGGTATTTGCTAAAAAACTTGTATCTAAGCTATGCTATTTAATTAACCTCAAAGGTTAGTGGTCATAATGTTTTTACTAACATTATTAAGAAAAAAAGCTGTCTTCTATTAAAAAAATACCCCACCCCCAAATTTGATTTTTTTAAAAAAAGACATGCTTTCAAAACAAACAACTATCATTTGCTGAGTTCAGTAGTAGAGTGCTTACCGAGCATGTTTGAGGCCCTCAGTTTGATGCACAGCACCACAAAATAAATAAATACATTAATCCATTTGTGGTATATAGTTTTTAAACAAAAATTTCGACTATACAAATAGTTTCAATCTATCTAAGCTACTGAGATACATCGTACGGGGCTAAGACAAGAGAGTAGAGAAAAACACTAATAAAACTGGGTCATAATTCAGTAAAGCAGGAAGAGGAACAAAGTATATTCTAGGTTGTAAAGTGGGTTACTCAATATTTTTTTAGTATCAGATTAGATCCTGCATTTATCTAATGTAGGATATCGAAACATATTTCCTAAAGCTGACATTAACTTTTATTACAGGATTTTGAAAATCTCATGATTTATATTTGGTTCACTTCTCAGATTTTCATGCAGTGAGTAGATATGGTCGGATATTGTTATACATCTTATGCTGTAGTCTGAACAGCCATGCCCCCTAAATTTTGTATGTTAAAACTTTAAATGTGATGATATTAGGAGGTTAAGAGCCTTTGGTAAATGAGAGAACCATCATGGATGGGATAGTGTCCGTATAAAATAGGACTTGGGAGAGACCCATCACCTCTTGCCATGAGAACAGTAAAAATATGGTTGTCTATGAGCTAGGAAGTTGGTCCTTGTTAGGAATCTGTTGGCACTTTGATCTTGGACTTCTTGGCTTTCAGAACAGTGAGAAATAAATTTGTGTTGTTTGAAAACCATCCAGTCTATGATATTCTTTTGTAGGAGCCTGAAAGGACTATGACATCTTGCTTTCAACAATAATCAGCACATGTACTTCATTAACATTTCTCGAGGACTTTAAGCAACACATTTTGGATTACCTGAGTAAGCACTGCAGTGTGCTCATAACCACAGCTGATATAAACCACACCTAGATTCTTCAGTGCACCAACAGAACGAGGTTTATAGCTTTGCACTGTCAAAAGAAAGCAGAATTCTAGAGTACAAGAAATAAACTCAGAATTTAATGAGTTTTTATATTTACATACCTTTTATATATTACTATCTTATGATTCATTAATATGATTTTAAAAGGGAGCAACCAGAAGAATAAAAAAGAGAAAACTGTGCTTTGGAAAAGACAAACAAAACTGTCCATTAGTACATTTCTCTGGAAACACTTATGGAATGCCCAAGGCTACTGGCCTAGAATAGAAGCTTCAATACTCTCCCAGTACTACTGCCATCATGTTGTATTCACTTCAGTTACATAGTATGTTCTCTGCAAATATGTAATAACAATCAAGAGACTTGACCTCGTGTTGAGGGTGTTAAAATGAGATGTAAGTACTCAGCATGGTACTGGTACTTAACGAGTGCTTATTATACACTAGACAAATACAAAGAATTGAACAAGAGAGTACGTGGTTCTTGGAGAATATGTCTTGGTGAGTTTTATTACTAGAGGAACTGGCTGCTTACAGGAATTTTAATCTAGTGGCTCCAAACTGTGCTGCATATTGGAATCATCTATAGGATTTTGAAGACTGACTGAAGCCTGCTTTCTATCTTAGACATTCTGACTTAATAAGCATGGATTTAACCTGGACATCAAGATTTTTAAAGGCATTTTATGGTAGACAGAAGAGAGCCTCCTAAAGAATAATAATCTACTACTTTCTAACCACAGAGGCCTGTGAATGTGTTAGATTACATGGCAAAGGGAGCATAGGGAAAAAAATGGAATTAAATGAAATGAATAATGACCTTAAAATAAGGAGATTAGCCTGGATTACCCAGGTGTGCCCAAAGTAATCCCAAGGGTCCTTTAACTGAGGAAGAGTGAGGCAGAAGGGTCAATGTCAAGTTGAAGGCTGAGCCAATTAAGATGGTGAGTTCTAGAGGTTGGGAAAGGTAGGAAAATGGATTCTTCACACAGCCTGCAGAAAAGAAAGCAGACTTGACGACACCTTGATGTTAGCCTAGAACCATGTCAGATTTCTGACCTCTGTAAGATAATGAATTTTGGGGGGGAATTAATTACAGCAACCACCGGAAGCTATGATAATGCCCCACCTGATGCTAATCTGTCACAAAGTCTGGGAACCACTTTCACCTGTGAGATTGGCTCTTGCTGGGTCAATCCTCTAGTTGGAGAGAAATAATAATCGACTGTAAGAACAAAACTGTCTTCTTACCTAAGACATTATTCCCACTGAAGGCCAGCTGCCCTGCGCTGTTGTTTCCCCAGCCAAATGAAGTTCCCGAGAGAGACAGGGCAAAGCTGTGAGCACCTCCTGCAGCCACCTGAGCCAGCGGGATGCCCTCCAGGGACCTCACCCTCTGAGGGCTGGCCTGAGAGGGGAACTCCTGCCCTAGGCCCAGCTGCCCATGGCTGTTCTTTCCCCATGAAAACACTTGCCCATCTACAAGACAAAGAAGAGAAATTTAGAATCCCACACATATTGGAAAGCTAAACTCAAGGTGAAACTACTGCCTTAATTCTACAGTAATTTTTAGCCTTACTGAGGTACAACAGACAAAAATCATATACTATAAATCATATACATTAAGGTGTTCAATGTGCCAGAGTGGAAGAAATCACATATGTGCCATGAAATGTAACAGTCTCTTAGGCCATGTGGTGCAGTGTGCATTGGGATATACAGAAATAAAGGTTCAAATCTCATTTCTTCTACTTCTTAGTGTTTTAATTTTGGTTAAATTATTTGAAGCCTTTGAGCTTAAATTAGCTCATTTATGAGATAAGCATGAGAATAATACCTAGCTCTTGTGTTTTCTGAGAAATTACATGAGAAAACACTTGTCAAACATTTAACACAGCAGCATGCACACAGAAGCAAGCAGTAAATGTTGGCTGCCCCAAGGTCCTGTGACGTGGTTCCTGTGATGCATAACATGTCACCTGTGGAATAGTAACTGTTGCACGTCCCTAGAAAGAGATCAGGACAGGCCACCCCAAAGTGTGCCATTGTTGCATAAGGATTATTTTGAGCTGAAGGCAATAGAGAACACATGCAAGGATAGTTTCCAGCCCTTATCTGCCTAAGAGCCAGGTATAAATGTCTCTTTGTAAAAAGGTCCCCCTCTCTCACACCAGAATAGAGAGCACCCCTTCCCCTGGAGACAGAATTGAAACTGAGATAAGAAATGTAAAATTACTTTGCTATCCTTACCTTCTAATAGTTACTCCTTATATTTTCTAATAATTTCCTTACAACTTATTATTTAAGCCCCAATTTCCTTTCCATTAAGTGATACAAATATCCCCAAATCTAACCACTTCTTTTAGTTTCTTTTCTGTGAATGCCTGTGCAGACAAATATGAATAAAAACTGGTTTTCTTTTCTCTACTAATCTGTCTCCTGTCCACTGAATTTGAAGGCCCAAGACGTATAAGAGAGTAGAAAAGATTTCTCTCTCCCTCAATCTCCACTGAGAAGTTCATGTTGAGGAAGAAGTACAGCAGGGGTTAGTAGCAAACTCCAGTGTCATGATTTTAACATCTTTTTTCTTTGGGCTAAGCAGAAGTGTCAGATAGCTCCTTTTTTCATTGTTGGTGTGAACAAACCATACAGCATAAAGGGCACGGTCTGGAAACGAAGCCTTTTATGAAGCTCTGAGGGAGTTGGGCAGTCAGGTCTTATGAACAGGGCAATCCTATGCAGTGAGGTGAGAGTGACGCACTATTCACAGTGTAAGATCAAAGAAACTTGAAAAAATAGGAAGAACATCCCCTCTGATGAAATCTAGATGGTTAAAAACTCCTAAATGCATTAAAATGAATCCTAATAAACCAACAGTTACTGTTATGACTTAGATTTTAACAATGTCCCCCCAGAGCCTCATGTGTTCAGAGGTTGGGTTTGGGATGGTGACTGGGTGGTGGGGACACTATCGTTATCAGTGGGTTGATTCACTGATGAATCCAAAGCTGAATTGCATTTTGGAGGTCAGGTCTATCAGAAAGGGCCAGTCACTGAGAATGTGACCTGCAAGTGGTAAGTCCCCCCACACCCCCTTTTTTCCCTCTCTTCCTGGATGCCAGGACTTGAGCAGCCTTCCACGACCTGGGACTTCTACTATACCATTTCTGCCTTGGAGTCAACTGACCCAGGCTGAACTATAAGCCAAATAAACCTCTCCTTTTTAAAAAAACTGTGGGTACTGGGTACTGAGTCCCACTGACAAGAAAGTAAGTTATCATTCATATTCAAAAAATTACTTATTAAGAGAAAGAATCTGCTCAAAAATGAAAAACAACTAGGATAGGAGAAAGGAGAAAAGAAGGAAAGAAGGAAGGGAAAATATATGAATATACGTAAGATAGGTAAACTATACTACTAATCTCAGTTCATCACAAAGAACAGTTTGTGCTTTCATTGATCATTTTTTTCATACCTATATTTTATAATCTGAACAACTACTTTGAAATTAACAATATACAATATATTAATCAGTATTAATCCCCTAATATTTTGTTTTGAAATTCTATATCATCATTTTTATTCTTATTTTGTTTTAAAATAAAATAAAATAAAATTTAAAATTACTTTCTAGCAACACTCAGAGATCCAAGTCTTGTTTTTTTTTACCTTTTGATAATGCCAAGGAGTGGTAGTATCCGCAGGAAATCTGTATTATTTTTATACCAGTCAGAGCTTTTATTTTCCTATAATTAAATTATACAAAATCTATTAAGATTTAGGGTGAGTTTCCAGGTGAACTACAGATATTTAAAAGTATTCTATGAATAGGAAATCAATTGTATTCTTTTATATTTCTATACAACCTTTACTGTAAAGCCCTCAACATCCCCCCCACCCCGTCCTTTTTTAGAGCCATCCCACCCAGCAGCCTGCAGAGTCAGCAAACCCCACTGTTCCCTCACGTAGCGCCACAGGAGTGCTGGAGTTCTCCCACTTACTGTATTCTCTTCTCTACACCATGCAGACTAGAGTCCAGCTGAACAGGATCCTCTTTGCCTTATTACTAGCAAGCCTGCCCTTGACCATTGTTTTGCTGGAAAGTAGCTAGGAACAGTGGGAATCTTATTCATCCATTTGTGTACATCACCAATTAGATGACAAGGCATTTAGCGACGATTTATCTGGGCTTCATTAAATTTATTTGGCATTCAGAATACTGGGTAGGAAGCATATTGTGTCAAATTGTTCTTAACATCAATATGTTCAAAAGTACAGGACATGGCAAGTGTGAGGTCCTGATTTTGATTCCCAGTAACCCTCCCCAAAATACAGGCAGAATCTCAAACGTATATAATGCAAAAACAATTTTTGTTGACCCTTGGGGATTACATACTAATTTTTATACTTTACTTATTCACCTAAAAGAAAAATAAATTTCTTTATACACATATGACATAGGCTTTAGAATTTATAGATTCCCAATATCATCTTCACCTAATTTAAACTCTATGAGACAGAGAAGCCATTAGGTTAAATTATACAAACTTGCCACATTTGTGGCTCAAAAATAACCAACAGCAATTCAGTATGTTTAAACTCAGTGGAACTCAAACAAGTCAAATATCTATCTGGTTATGGAATTAGGATCAATTCTTGCCCTTATCATTCTGGTAAGTTTGATCGAAACTACCTCCTAACATACGTGGTATAAATGAAATATGTGGTGAATATTTACATTTTTAAAACATTTGTAAAAGATGTATTGCCATTAATCCCTCCAAAATACTACCTTTTGCTTCAAACACACTTATCTCATCATTCTTGCCACTTTCTGAAGAAAGTTCTCTTTCATGAGTATATTTAGTTGTGTTGTCCTAGCTGCCTTGATGTCCTAAAATGATTTGTAACTTCTACGTTTCGTGGTCATTTTGACTTTGGGAAAAAGCCAGAAGTCACATAATATAATATACCCTGCTAGATGGTAGAGTGGAACATTCTGAACCAAACTTCTGCTCAATTCTAAATTACAGTAAAAGCTCATTGAGATCTACAGAATGATTTGTTACAATTTTCCCTTTCTCTCTGCTCATCCACTCAAACCATATCATTTCTTTTATATAATTTCATGGCCATGGGACACAATGAGAGTTAACTTCCTTGAATTAAAATAAAAGCATTTGAAAATACCCTAAATGTGTGATCTGTAAACACAAAGTCAGAGCAGACTGCTTGTCATCACTTGTTCTGGGAGGCCGTCTATGAAGAAATGTGGTATTTCTCCTATTTTACTAAAGAAAATATTAGGACCCACTCAGTGGCTTATGACAAGCCAAAGAGTTGTGTTCAGAGGAAAACCTTTCCTTTTCCAACTTGGGTCCAGTATTTGGGGGCTGGCAAATTACCTGGCAATAGATAAATTAATAGAAGGAAAGACAAAGTTTATTTACATGGGGTGCTTTGCTATGGCAGAACAGCCACATGGCCAGTGTAAAGGTTTATTATGTTGAGGCTCTGATAGGAGAGTCTGGAAGGTTCTCTTGAGCTTTCGCAAGGTGGTGGTAAAGGGCAGGCTGCCTGCATGGAAGCCAAGCTGACCCCCAAACAACCACAGAGGATAGTTAACAGTCAACTGGATTTTCAGGGGGCTCAGCTTGATAAAGGACATTCAGATAAAACTGCTTTCTGCATCTTCTGTAGCTCATAGGTTTTTGTTTAAAAAAAAAAAATCTTCATCCTCACTGTTGGGGCGTAAATGGGTCCTTACAGTTACTTCTAAAAGATAACATTAAGATGGAAGGGTCACATCTGATTTCACTTTGCCCTTACCTTTATGGAACTCAAATATTCAGCATTGTACATTTTTTCCCATCTTTTTTTCTTTACTACACTGTCACCCTTGAGGTAAAGGACTGTATTTGTCATAGTTGTCTTTGTGTCCTGGCATCTAACACTCAAACACATACTGAAAGAAGGAAGGAAGGACCTGACATACTTACTGAGGTATGAAACATATTTCCTCGAATTTTCCAGTCCCCAGCTGTCCATCAGAGCCCACTCCCCACGCGAAGACCTTTCCTTTGTGGCAGACAGCCAGAGAGTGCTCCTTCCCACAGCTCACAAGGTCAACAGGTAGATTTACCAATGCCTGTATTGGTTCTTTGGGAACAAAAACAAATCAAAATCTGCCCCCACCAAAGGTTATTAATTTAATAACTAGTTTAAGACAGTACTTTCATTCAGAAAGAAGGGCCATCTAGATTTCTTGTCTTCTGGGGTATTTTTAAGTCAAAGCCTAAAGTCTCTTCTAAATACTGAAAGAAGCTCAATACCTGTTACACTGTCTTTATGAGACATGTTATAATTGGAACACCATTTGGCTGAGACGGTCCTAACATCTTGGATTCCTGTGTAAGCAAGTGGAAACCTAACTTAGCCTAAGAAAATGAAATTGAAGTACAACTAACCAGAATCCACCCCATTATCTCTACTGAGGATACTAACAACTAGAAATTGCCAACTAATCTCTAACTAGGGTCTTTCCATCTTAACTAATCAAGGCTTTTTTTTTTTTTTTTATCTTGCTTATTCAAACACCCTTTTAAAGTTTCTTCCTGGAATTTCCTGATGTTCCGTTAGTTGAGCCCAACTGCTTGAGGTCAGGGGCTGCCCTGTTCATAAATTTACTAGCACGGAAATAAAATCTTTACCATTTTAGTATATGTCAGTTTTACCTTTAACAGTGGCTAAAATGGTGGGTATTACAGAGAAAGGTACTGTAGCCATTACACGGCTACGTTCGCGTGAGGAACCTTGGGGCGTCCCCCAAGAGTACCATCTGGGGACTAAGATGCTGGACCAAATATTTCTCAATGCTGGTGAGAGCCAACCTTGTCAAATAAAGGAGTTTGAAGAAAAAGCAGCATCCTCTCTATTCGCCTTCCCCACCTGAACAGTGAGTCCCTTGGGTGAGTGCCTTTCTCAGGAGGAAGTCAGAACAGAGGCTGCCTCCTGGGTAGCCTCCAGAGGCAGGCCCTGGAGCCTCTTACACTGAAGAGTGAAAAGCTGGGTCCACGAAGCCCCTAAGTGTGCCTACAAATGAAAACTTCATCAAATTTCCCTACACTGTTTTTCGAGCCTGTCTCTAAATTATTATAAATTCAGAGTAGAGAACACAGTTATCAGTAAAGTTTGCTACTATTTTTAACTGTTTGGTTTTTTGTTTGTTTTCTGTTTTTTCTTTGTGATCTTACTGTTTTCATTTTCAACCTAGACACTGCTAAAACATTTCCCAAAGATTCAGTCATGAAGGTAGAAACTGATGCCACTTTCGGGGAGAACAACTTGGCACCACATATCACATTGGTCTTTATTTCTATCCGAAAGGTATCAGGACATGCTTCTGCAAAATATGCCATGCATGTATCTGAAGGCAGTAGAGAATCTACAGAACCAGGAAGAGTGCTCTGCCCTCCTCTTATCTGCTTAAAAGCAGGGAATTAATTTCCTCTTATGAAGGTGTCTTCTTGCCTCATGCCAGAAAGAAAACAGAATCAGCTAACCATATCACCAAGATGAGTCTGCAAAAACAACCTTTACTGAAGTAACTTTTCTCTTCCGTTAGATTCTCATTTACATAGTAGAGTGTGTGTTTGGACTGACTTTTGCTAATTTTCTTTTGTTTTTCCAAGGAATATTTTTGTCTTTTAGATTTTTAAAAAATTTAACAGATACATAAAAACTGTACATATACAAGGAATATTTTATAATGTTTCAGTAAACATACACTATGTATGTTTAAATCAAGTTGAGCTTATCTATCTCCTTAAACATCTGTCATTTCTTTATACTGAAAACCTTCAAACTCCTTACTTTTGATATAGTGTGTTATCATTATCTGTAGTCGCTCAGCTGCACACTAGAGCACTAGGCTTCTTCCTCCTATGTAATGTCATTCAGTGCCCACAGTAAGCACTATTGGGCTCCCAACTTCTGTGGGATCAACTTTTTATATTCCACCCTTGTCTTTTTCTGCCTGGCCTATTTCACTTAACACAGTGATAGCCACTTCCATCCGCCATGTCCCAAATTGTTCCCCCATATATTTCCTAGTATTTTCCCCACAATTTATCATCCCATGAAGGACAAGTCTCCTTTCCTTTGTTAAGCAGGGTATACATGTTCCTGAATCCAAGTACCTGTTTGAGTTTTGTTTCTGTGAATTCCTATGGACATAAATTATCCCTCACGTAGAGTAATAAAAAATGTGTGTTTTCCCCCCATTAATCCTTCTTTTGTCATTAAATTTGCAAGTCTCAAAAACTTAAACTAAGATGGTAGGGGAAAGGTTTTTCATCATCCACACTCTTGCTGACACTATTCAAACAGGAATGCGGTCAAACATTTACTTAATGTATGTCAATCAGTATTACTTAGTAAAACCCCCTAAACGGAAACAGCCTAATTTCCACAAAAACAGCGATAATTAAATCTTACAGCCCAGGCTGGCATGCAATTTATAATATATTTTAGAAAGCTACATAATAAAAGGCTTATGATTATGACCTTTTGGGGGTGAAAATGCAGATTAGAGTTCCAGAAATACTGCATACACAAAATTACATACTGACATGATTTTTATTATAAACATTAAATAGAGAAAAAAGAAGAAAATGCACCAAAAGTTAGGAATTGTTTTTAAGCGTGGGATAAAGGCGACTTCTTTCCCATGTTACTACAGTATCAGTAAAAATGCTGTCTAATAGTTTAAAATTTAAACCAAGCGACGTCTCGGGGGTTTTCCGGCTGGTAGCAGGTGTCTGCCCACTGTCAGCCTTTGGGGCAGTTGCATTCGAGCGAGGCCTGTCTGCAAACTGGACTGGACGCACACGCCTCTCCCCAGGGGGCCGCAGCCCAGCTTGTTTCGCTATTTGTTTCCCATCAAGGTGAATTGGAAACCGAAACAAACCCGCTTCCCCTTGGGGAAAACGAAACCGCAAGTTGCGCGGGGCTCCCACGGCGCCCGAACCCAGCCCCCCGCACTCCGCGCCCCGGCCCAGGGCTCACCTGGCTGCTTCCCGCTGGGGGCGCCCCTCCGGCCCAGCTGGCCACCGCTGTTGTCGCCGCACGCGTGCACGACCTGGTTGGTCAGCAGGAGCAGCGCGTGCCGCTCCCCGCTGGCCGCCTGCAGCAGCCCCGTGCCCGCCGCTGCCGGGCGCCGCGCCCTCCGGCGTCCCGCGTCCGCGCTCCAGCCGAAGTACGCCCCGCGCCCGGCCGCCTCCATCGGGTCCTGGACCTCTGCGCACCCGGCTCCCGAACTGCAGCGGTGGGCGTGAGCTTATGTGCGGGACGGTCGGGATGCTGGATGGTTCAGCCCCCTGGGCACACCCCGCCGCCCTGCTTATCCGTCCCCAATAGCAGCCAAGTCACCCTCCACACCCAAAGTGGGGACTCGCCAGGAAGAGCCTTGCGTCCCGCATTGTCAGTCATGGACCAGGCACCTTCCCTCAGGACTCTGTGCTGCAGGTAACACATAGGAGGACTCAGTAAATGATATTTAAAGCGATGAAATAATTCCTACTTTACTTAATAAAAGCATCCGAGTGTTTACCCTATTCCAGAAGTTAATTTTGGGCCTGGAAATACAATAGTGAAAGACAAAATCACGTGGAGGATTCTTTTTTTTTTCTCGAGGGAAAGAAAAAAAAACTCACAGTGGCAAGTGGCAAGATGAAAAATAAGGCAGGCGATAGACATCAGAGTCCTGTGGGACTAGTATTTTTGACAAGCTACCAGGCAAGAAGACTTTGATGAAATGACATTCGAGCAGACAGTGGGAAGAACACAGGAAATAAGAGTAGGAGTCATGACCTTAGCTAGGGGGAGAGGATAAGGAGAAACTGCTGCAAGGTTTGAAAAGACAAGAGCCATGATCTGACGATAGTTTTAAAAGAATCATTCTGGCCACTCTGTAGAAAAATCGTGACAAGAATGAAAGCAGAAAGCTAGGGAGCGGAGGCTGCTACAGAAGTCTAGCTCAGAATGATGGTGAGACTACGCTGATACCTCAGAGTGGAGAGAAGTTGTCAGATTCGGGATGTTTTTCAGGGTCTGAGGAGTCACTCAGTAGGGCTAGGATGTGGTTGAATGGCAGGTGTTTGCAGGATTCACAGGGCTCTGGGCTCAATCCCCAGGGCCATAAAAACGCAGTCCACAGATTTGCTGATGGAAGGCAAGTGGGAGTAGAGAAGGGAAAAGATCGAGGATTACTGCTGTGCTGAGCACAGAATGAATGCTCTATTGGAGTGAAAAATCCTGTGGTACTGGAGATGTGGGCCGTGGGGTCAGGAAGACAGATTGTTAATGACAACGGTGAGCCACTTGGTACACAAGGAGGGAACAGGATGAAGCATTTTGGAGTTTTGGAGAGAAACTGGGGGATCAGAATATTAGAGCCAGATGGCTGAATGAGATCGCCCCAGGTGGTAGAAATTAAGGGTTGGAGGACTGATCATAGGAGGAAATCCAGGTGTACACAAAGCAAGTAAGGAATAAGCAAATAATCAACTCAGACTTTTCCTTGTCAATGATTGAAACTAGGCTTGACAAAATGGGAGTTGTCATGGTTTATATCTGTCACCCCAAAGCCTTGTAAAGTACCTATATGTGTTTCCATATAGCTGTGAAGAGTTTGAATCTCAGAAAGCATAAGTGATTAGTTCAAGGTAAATACTTAAGGTAAGTCGTATAACTCCGTTTCTACCAAACGGTGCTGACTCAGCATGAAGTGAGTAAAGTATGAGAAAGGGGATGAGAGAGAGGACAAGAGTCCAGGGACTGTCACTCCCAAATGTGTCACCCTGATCATGCTTCATAAAAGGAACTTAGTAGAAAATGCTAGGAGAGGCTTTCCTTATTGTATCTGTTTCTGCTTATAGTCTGGACCTCCAAGCAAGAAAACAATTTCTGATTCCTATTGTGAGCTTTCATGAGCTAAACTACATGATGGAAAAGAAGACTGAAATCTGTCAGTACACTTGAGGAGACTTGTCCTACACCATTATCCTCTAATTCAGTCCCGTAGAGAATCTTTTACAAGCTGGTATCCATTCTGCAGACTGGATGGACTTTGTCTTAGGCAGATACATGTTCTCCAAGCCTAAAGAGTTCACCTCTCAGTCATTTGCTGCTCCTTTCAAATTGTCTGTACTTTCTATTTTCCCTTTCCCCTATCGAGATGGGGTACACAGCTGAGTAATATTGGCCTGCTGGTCACTCACACTCCTGTAATTTCCTCCATACTGTGATTTACCCCTTTTCCCTATAGTTTTGTCAATTTATAAAAAATATCTTATACAAATCCATCCATTTTTAAAGTTTATCTTACTAGGACATGTTCATAGTACATGCATTTTACAATCATCTCGGGTACGTGTGCATGTATATAAATACAGCTTGCTTTTTTTAAAATCCCCTCCTCCCGTCCTTCTTAATTTCCTTCCCCATCTTTATTCTTACTGGAATATTAGTAAGAACAAATTTGATACATTTATAAGAAAATGGATGCACCTGGAAAAGGTGCTGAGTAAAATAAATCAGACATACAAACTTGAATACCTTATGGTATGGCTCACCTGAGTAAGGCAAAATACAAACTAAGAAAATAAAGAAAGGGTACAATTAGACAAGAGTACAGATCTCTTGCATATGGGAAGGGGTCCAGGGCACTAAGGCATGGGAAGTAGGTAGAATAAATACATGCGATGTACAGGGCTCTCGTAACCTTAATGAACATGGACATTACATGCTATAAACATGATCTAAAACTAATAATATTAACATTTTCTCCTTTTGGACATTAATACATGTCTCTGCCTTTTCTATTTAATCTTTGTTAGTTTATTCCAGTGAACCTTAAGAGACTGGAAGGGAAATTTTCCTTTACATCTATATTTTCCTTTACCCTTTTCTTGACTCTCTCAAAACCCATTGTTCTGGGTTCAAATCCACACTCAGTGCTACCATCCCTTAATTTGAATAAGAAACACATTTTCATATATTAACTTAATTGTTTTTATTACATTCCAACTTGTCCCAAACCATCTTAAAGTAGCTTCCTGGGCACTTTGTATAGTTCTTTGCAAATGGACAAAAGCACTAGGATGGCCCAATAGGGATAAGTTGGGGTGGGAGGACCACTTCAAATCTGAAACTGATTCTCCTTATGAGCAGGGAATGGTAGTTTGGAGTTTTAACTCTAGGTGGCAATATTAGACAGTTGGGCTCTAGTTTTTGGAAAGGACCTATTTTTCACTTTTGGAAGGCAAATGATTGACATTTCTTTTTTTTTTTTTATAAGTCTTATAATTCCCCATGCCTGTTGCAAGACTTTGGTTTTAAATTGCTTAGGAAAAAGATTAACTGCTACATTCACATTTACCATGTCTGTGTCGTTACAACAGTACTGCAGTGTACCAGCAATCTCAGAACTCCTGAAAGTTGTCCCAAACTGGGAAAGGAAGAAAAAGGTCTCTGAATCCTAGAATTGATTGTTATTCAAACCAAAGTTTCTTGACATACTGCCCAGTTACAAACTGAGGACGGGGCTGAGATTTGTATTTAAGTTACTGTTTAACTTAATTTGTAAGCCTATGTGAACTAGTAGAAACTTTCATGCAAATTAAGTTTGCATTTACCTGCATATAGTAAAATTGAAAATAATAGCCTGAAAAATAGGACTTCATTTCTCTCACACATAAATGTCTAGAGGCAAGCAGGCTTGGGCTCATTTGCTGACTTCATAGCATATCAGGGCCTCCTACATCCTTCTGTCTGCTTCATTTGAGAACCTAATTTCCACCCTGTAGATCATTTCACATTCTAGCTGGTGTTACAGATAACTCAGCTGCCTTCCAACCAACTGAAAGGATGAGGAGAGGCCATGACCCCAGAAATTCTGTGTAACACTTCTTGTATGTGTCCACTTAAGAAAGAGGCTCACTGAATGTATTCATATGGCTATAGTGGCTGCAGAAGATGTTAGAAAATGTAAAGTACATTATAACCCCAAATAGTATTAGGTTTCTGCTTTAAGGAAGACAAGATATTATATGGCAAGAAACAGTCAAAGAATTGGAGATGTTTAGCTGACATAAATGTGGCAGGCAAGATCAGCCATATAGTGTACGACCTGTGCAGGTACAGTAGCAGGCTCCATGCTTGGCTCACTGGTCTCTCTTCATTATTTGAAATCTTCAATAATTTTATCTTTGAACCAATGTATAAGTAAAATCTGGTAATAACAGTGATACATGCATGTGAGCAGGGGAACAGCACTGTCTGCTACCCCCTGTCACCCTATTTGTGGTGTTGGAGATGCTGAGTGAGCAGGATTCTCATGTGCCCCCCATGTGTGGGAGCTCAGTGAAGGAAAAGTTAATACAGATAAACTGGTTATATCTATTCTTGGGACCCATGAAATGCATGCTTTTTAAAGTTTTTAAAATTTATTTTTGTTTATAAGATAGGATTTCACTATGTAGTTCAGACTGGCCTTGATCTCACCATTGTAGCACAGGCTGGCATAGAACTCCTGATGATCTCGCTTCAGCTTCCCAAACGCTGTGATCACAGGTGTGCACTACCATGCCCAGCCTTCTCAAGAAATGCATGCATTTCCTTAAGAAAGCACAGGAATTTGTTAGTTATTATCTATGAGACCAGGAGATACAGAAACAATAGACAGGTAGGATAAAGACCTAAGAAAACCAAGACAAGCTCTGAGAAAACGAATCCATGGAGAAAGAGGCTCACTGAAGTTGGCCCTAGGAAGCTGGAGTTTCAGGGGAAAGCCTGTTTTCCTAACATCAGAGGCCTTGCTAAAATTGGCGGTCACATTGTTTCAAAGGACTGGAGCGTGGGTAAACTGAGATAAGCCCCAGGAAATTAGGTGCAAGAGAAGTCTGTTTCTCCTGACCTCAGAAGTCCAGCTAAAAGCAGCAGCCACATTGCTTGATTGTCTCACTTTTGTGTGCCCACCAAAATAGCCTAAGAAGTGCATATAAAGCCTGATCTGGGCATTTCTTTGGTATTCTCTCTTGGACCGCCTCTCTGTTAGAGTTTTCTTTGCTCTTTCTAGTAAACTACTTCGCTTATTCCCCACTGCTGTGTCGCAGGACTTCTTACTTTGTCTCTGGGACAAGAGCCCAGAGGGAGGAGAGAATTGATTATGAATGTATAAAACTTATTCTCATCAGCGAATTTCCATAACTGCATTGAAATCTTGAAGATCTGTAGACAAACTTAGTGAATATAAAATCATATTATCAGAAAAGAGCTGTGTATTGGAATAAAGGATGGTTTAAGTTTTGGGGCCATCATGAAAGTGCAAATCTCATGCATTTACATCATTAAATGCCTGGTGAGCTGTGAACCTCAGGAAGATCCGAAAGGAGTCATGAACCCTAAGAAGCTGTAGTCACCTTGAAATGATAGAGACAAGTATTAGATCTGCGTAGAAACCCTAGTGTCTTCCTAGTTTAGTGAAATTATATATCCCTTTCCTCCCTTTTTTTTGCAACGCTGGGGGTCAAATGCAGGGTTTTCTGTGTGGTAAGCATGCACTCAATTCCTAAGCTACAACCTGGCTTCATATTCTTTTACTGGAAACTTTTTTAAAAAAATAAAAAACCATCCATGGGATAAACTTGGAGTTGGAATGGAAATTTACTCCCAGCTCTCAAGAACCTATCTATCATGCCCAAGTGGGAAAATTCTAATGCTGACTTTTCTGACTTCTGTAAATGGCTCAAAGTCTGGGCACAAAACAGAAATTAGACCAACAAGATCCCTCTTCCACCATGGAATTTTTAAAATTTAAAAGTTCTTGGGAGAGAGGTACTCAATTTTTCTATGTTAGAAGGTTTTAGTTTTGCTTTAGGCTGCTTTGCCTGCCTATTGGGGAAGCAGAATCGCCTAGAATTACATCCTGTGAAGGCGGCGCTTAACTGAGGAATACAGAGATGAAAATACCTCAGCTGCCTTAGCTTGACTAGTGTGACTTCAAGAATCACATAGACCTGTTCTGTCCAGTACACTAACCACTTGCCATATGGAGCTCCTGAGTACCTGAACTGTGGCTAGCACATACTGAGATGTGTTATGTGAGATAAAAAGTGTATGATATCATTGCTTTGGACTAGGCTTTTACAAAGGTCAGACTAAAAATCAAAATGGAGTCATCCATGCTGAAGTTCTGTGTCACCAAACTGAACCTTGGCCATTCGCTGGTCTGAGAAATCAGGAGAACCAGAGAGCTAAGGTTCTCACCCAGGCGAAACAGTGAATCAGTAAAGTTTATTCTGCTTTAAATCTTTATATACACAAAATACTCTGAAGCAATCAGATCCCACCCAATCTCTTTTCCCCCTTCTATCAATTGTTCTGTCCGCTAGTCCTTACTTTACCAGGAAGGTAATTTTGAAGTGATAATCTATTTTTTGTCCTTGGTTTCTGCCTCCCCCTTACCCATTCACCCTGGACCCCTGCTCTTCTCTGGCTATAAAACCAACCTCTCCTACTCAGCCTGTCAGAACACTGATTGTGCTTTTAGGAATGAAATATTATCTGACTCTAGAATTGAAAATAATGTCAATTAAGACATTTAT